GCCGCCCCGGCGATCGTGCTCGGTGCGTATCTCAGCACTCACCGCGCGAGACGCGTGGCGTGCCACAAATCAGTAAGCAGCAGCCTCCGCTGCTGCGACTCGAATGCTGCAAACGCGCACCTGTGCTTGCGCACGGCGTGCCCTACACGAGCCCCCGACCGCACGAGCGTGCGGGCGGCTCGAATCCACCCTTCCCCCGCCCTAGCCACTGTTGGCTGGGCGGCGGGCGCCGTCCGCCTTGTTGCGGCGGCGACACTTGCAACACGAGCACACCTCGCTTCGGCGCGCTCGACCCTTCACAACGGGCCGCCCGCAAGGACGCGTGTGCGGCCCTCTCTACTCGACCTGTGCCACGGCACGGGTCGTTCTAGTCATGCAGCCGCCCCGGCGATCGTGCTCGGGGCGTATCTCAGCACTCACCGCGCGAGACGCGTGGCGTGCCACAAACCAGTAAACAGCAGCCTTCGCTGCTGCGACTCGAATGCTTCAAACGCGCACCTGTGCTTGCGCACGGCGTGCTTTACACGAGCCTCCCTACCGCACGAGCGTGCGGGCGGCTCGAATCCACCCTTCCCCCGCCCTAGCCACTGTTGGCTGGGCGGCGGGCGCCGTCCGCCTTGCGGCGGCGGCGACACTTGAAGCGGTCGCGGCGCGTATGCGTCGTACTGTTAGGGCGGCCGGGCCCGAAGACGGCCCGGCCAGGCTCTGCATAAGGCCATCTTCGCCACAACGCGTGGCATTGGTCCAACTACGGCAACCCACAGCGAGGGGGGCCGCTTAGGCGACCTTGCTCACATCAGCTGCATATGCTTCAGTGGTGCAAGGAGGAGTGGAGAGGGACCTTTGACGGTGTCTGGCCCATGCGGGTTGGCACGTACCTAGTTGTGCGCATATGCGTACGCGACCGTTTTGGAGCGCGGGGCGGCGGCGTCGATAGATATCGACGCCGCCGTCGCCGCGCATCATGACGAGTTCGCATTCCCCATGTGACCCTCTATACCTCACCTTCGAGACAAGCCAGGGTTCAACCCAATGGACCTAGTGTGGCGTCGAGGCCCGCACTGTCTGGACATGCGGGCCGCGGCTGACAGAACGGCGGGCTAGGCATTGAGAGCCCAGGAGTTTTAATCGAGGGGAATCTGGAGAATCTGGGAATTGCTCACCACGATCCCCGCCCCATCCAAGACATACTAGTTTTTCAAGGTGCTCTACAAGTTAGGCACAAAAGATACGGATTGCGGGCCATTTAGGATTTCTAGACGATCACTGAGCTCTGAGATCGGCCAAAATCCCCAGAGCAGGCGCACATCGCTTCCAGGGAGGGGGGCGCGCTTCTCTGCACACCACATGCTGGGGGGGGGGGGGGTCCG